CCATAAACTACACATAACTACCATACACTACACATAACTACCATAAGTACACATAACTACCATACACTACACATAACTACCATAAACTACACATAACTACCATAAACTACACATAACTACCATACACTACACATAACTACCATACACTACACATAACTACCATAAAGTACACATAACTACCATACACTACACATAACTACAATAAACTACACATAACTACCATAAACTACACATAACTACCATACACTACACATAACTATCATAAACTAAACATAACTACCATACAGTACACATAACTACCATAAAGTACACAGGTTTTTGCACAAATAGCTGAGGTACACTGAGATTAATTATGATGGTAAGGTAGTGACATACTTTCTTCTTGAATCGCCACCTTACCATGGTGGAGGAGTTTGTGCACCTGAATGGTCTTAGGAGCTCTGCTGTCCAGGGCAATTATAATTGTCCCTGGTAGGGTCTCCCAAGGCAGATTGGTCCTAGGTGACAGGCCAGACAAAGAACGATTCAGAAGATTTTTATGGTCATGACACAGCAAGGAACTTGGTGTCCCTTGCCCAGACGTGGGTTACCAGGGCCCCACCCTGGAGCCAGGCCTGGGGGAGGGGCTCATCGGCGAGCGCCTGGTGACCGGGTCTCTACCCATGGGGCCCGGTCGGGCTCAACCCGAAGGAGCAGCATGGGTTTGCCTTCCTGTGGACCCACCACCTGCAGGAAGGGCCATAAAAGTCAGGTGTGTGATGCCATGGGCAGTGGCCGATAGCGGGGACCTTGGCACTCTGACCCTGGCTTACCAAAGCTGGCTCTTGGGCCATGGAACGTGACCTCTCTGGTGGGGAAGGAGCCTGAGCTTGTGCGTGAGGTTGAGAGGTACCTACTAGATATAGTTGGGCTCACCTCAACGCACAGCATGGGCTCTGGAACTGAGAGGGACTGGACCTTATTCCACTGTGGAGTTGCCCATGGTGAGAGGCGTCGAGCTGGTGTGGGTCTACTTGTAGCCCCCCAACTTGGTGCCTGTGTGTTGGAGTTTTCCCCGGTAGACGAGAGGGTGGCTTCCCTTCGCCTTCGGGTGGGGGGACGGACACTTAACTGTTGTCTGTGCCTAAGCACCGAACAGCAGTTCAGAGTATCCGGCCTTCTTGGAGTCCTTGGCAGGGGTGCTGGAAGGTGCACCAGCTTGGGACTCCTTTATTCTGCTGGGGGACTCCAATGCTCATGTGGGTATTGACAGTGTGACCTGGAGGGGCGTGATTGGGAGGAAAGGCCTCTCTGATCTGAACCCAAGCAGTGCTCTGTTGTTGGACTTTTGTGCTAGTCATAGTTTGTCCATCACAAACACCATGTTCGAACATAAGGGTGTCCATAAGTGCACTTGGCACCAGGATGCCCTAGGTCTTAGATCAATGATAGACTTCATAGTCGTGTCATCTGATTTGCGGCCGTTTGTTTTGGACACTCGGGTGAAAAAAGGAGCTGAACCGTCAACTGATCACCACCTGGTAGTGAGTTGGATCAGATGGTGGGGGAAGATGCCAGAGAGACTCAGTAGACCCAAATGTGTAGTGAGGGTTTGCTGGGAACGCCTGGCAGAAGAACCCGTCAGAGAGATCTTCAACTTGCACCTCCGGGAGAGCTTTAATTGCATCCCAGCTGAGGTGGGGAACATTGAGTCTGAGTGGGTCATGTTCCACACCTCACTTGTTGAGGTAAATGCCTTGAGCTGTGGCCACAAGGTTGTCGGTGCCTCTCACGGTGGCCATCCACAAACTCGGTGGTGGACACCCCGGGTTAGGGAGGCTGTCAAGCTGAAGAAGGTGTCCTATCGGGCCTTGTTGGCCAGTGGGACTCTGGAGGCAGCTTAGGAGTACCGGAGGGCCAAGAGGTCTGCAGATTTGGCTGTTTCTGAGGCAAAAGCTTGGATGTGGGGAGAGTTTGGTGAGACCTTGGATAACGACTCTGGATTCTGGCAAACCATTAGATGGCTGAGGAGGGGAAAGCAGCATTTTGCTAACACTGTATTCAGTGAAGGTGTGCTGCTGTTGACCTCAACCAGTGATGTCATCGGGAGGTGGAAGGAATACTTCTCAGACCTTCTCAATCCCACCAACATGTCTTCCATGGAGGAAGCTGAGTTGGGGGACTTTGGGGTTGATTCATCCATAACTGTGGCTGAGGTCACTGAGGGAGTTAAAAAGCTCAGAGGTGGCAGGGCTCCGGGAGTGGATGAGATTGACCCTGATTTCCTTAAGGCTCTGGATGTTGTGGGGCTGTCTTGGTTGACACGCCTTTGAAATGTCGCGTGAACATTGGGGGCAGTGCTACTGGACTGGCAGACTGGGTGGTGGTTCCCCTCTTCAAAAAGGGGGACCTGAGGGTGTGCTCCAATTATAGGGGCATCACTCTCCTTAGCCTTCCTGGTAAGGTCTGTTCAGGGGTACTGGAGAAGCGAATCCGATCGTTGGTCGAACCTCAGATCCAGGAGGAACAATTTGGGTTCCATCCTGGCCGTGGAACTCTGGATCAGCTCTTTACCCTCACTAGGATCCTTGAGGGGTCATGGGAGTTTGTCCATCCTGTCTATATGTGTTTTGTGGATTTGGAGAAGGCATTCGACCGTTTTCCTCGGGGTACACTGTGGGGGGTGCTTCGTGAGTATGGGATTGGGGGCCTGTTGCTACGGGCTGTTCAGTCCCTATACAAGCGGTGCGAGAGTTTGGTTCGCATTGCCGGAAGTAAGTCGAACCCCTTCAGGGTGGGAGTTGGAATCCGCCAGGGCTGCCCCTTGTCACCGATTCTGTTCATAACTTTTATGGACAGAATTTCTCGGTGCTTGTGGCTACCTTTTTTCTGCTTTTAGTTTCAGGCTCTACTTTTAGATTGCAATTAGGTTTTTTTGCTACTTTTCAGAGTCAGAGTTTCTTTATTGTCATTCGCACCTCATGTGGTACATGTGGTGGAGCGAAATTATGTACACAGGTTCCCAGTTACATCCAACAATAAAATGTCTAAGAAAAACAGTAATAACATCTAAGATATGAACTAAGAAAAACATCAACTAAATATACACTAAGCACTCATAACATAAAACATTGAACATCAGCACAAACATGAACATGAGTCTGTGAGCAGATGAGCAGCATGAACACATCAACATTGAAACAGTTCAGCAGCAACATGAAACAGATCAGCAGCAACATTGAAACAGATCAGCAGCAACATGAAACAGATCAGCAGCAACATTGAAACAGATCAGCAGCAACATGAAACAGATCAGCAGCAACATGATATGGTTTTTCACAGTGATTATTCTGGTTAGAGATTCATGAGTCTAACAGCCTCAGGGTAGAAGCTGTTCCTCAGTCTAGTGGTTCTACACTTAATGCTCCTCAACCTCCTTCCTGAGGGGAGTGGGGCAAAAAGTGTTATGTTCAGGGGGGTGTAGGTGAGTTTGTTCCTTCTGCTTTTTGCTATTTTAGCTTGCAGCTAGCTTTTTGCTACTTTAAACTTGTGGCTAGATTTTTGCTTCTTTTAGCTTGAGGCTAGCTTTTTGCTACTTTAAGCTTGTGGCTAGATTTTTGCTACTTTTAACTTGAGGCTAGCTTTTTGCTATTTTAGCTTGCAGTTAGCTTTTTGCTACTTTCATCTTGCTGCTTGCTTTTGCTACTTTTAGCTTGAGGCTAGCCTTTTGCTACTTTAACTTGCAGCTAGCTTTTTGCTACTTTAAGCTTGTGGCTAGGTTTGTGCTTCTTTTAGCTTGAGGCTAGCCTTTAGCTAACAAAAACCAATGACTGATGGAAAGTAATACTGAATTTTTTTCAGCTGATGTTTTTTTCTTTGACATGTTCAGGGAGCAGCGATGTTGAGGGGCGGGGCCTGGCCGTGTTGGCCCCGCCCCCTCCGGTACTTAAACCTTTCCGGCGCGTGGCTCCTGGACTTGAACACGCTGGGATGGACCTGCTCCTCTGTGGTTTCTGGTCCTCCTCAGCGGACCGGGAGGGTCCAGCTGGACTGGCATGAAGAGGTTCTGACGGTTTGGAAGGATGCTCCGGCAGGAAGTGGATCCGGTTCTGGAGACTCTGTGGAACCTGTTGGACCTCCGTAGTTCGGATCCGGCTGACTGATGACGGACCCGAACTGGACCCGCGATTCATTCAGGCTCGTGAGGATCTTCTGATGACGTCAGAGCACAGCTAGAATCGTCCCAGGGAAGCTGAAGTGGACCGGGTCTGCGAGGACCCGGTTCTGGACTGCAGGATTCCTCTCAGTTTTTAAAGTTTTGATGGTTTTATTTTGAAAGGACAGAGGAAGTGGACTCGTGACTCTGTAAAATGACAGTTTGGCTCCTCCGGACCGTCCTCCTCCTGGTTCTGGTACCGGTTCTGCTCCTCTGCTCCCGCTGCAGCGCTCAACCCGAACCGGACCCGACCCGGGTCTCCTGCGCGTCCTGCGCCGGCTCGGCTCGGCCCGGGTCCGGTCCGGTGGACCGAGAGCTCCTGGATGCGGTGAAGAGGCACATCCTGACCCGGCTGCAGCTCCGGGACCGGCCCAACATCACGCACCCGGTTCCGAAGGCTGCCATGGTGACGGCGCTCCGGAAGCTGCACGCGGGAAAGCTGCGCGAGGACGGGAGGCTCGAGATCCCGAACCTGGACGGACTCCCTGCCGGACCCGAAGTTCTGGAGGAGAGTTCCGAGATCATCAGCTTCGCAGAGAAAGGTTCGGCTCTCAGGCTCGGTTTGTTTGATGTTCGTTTGTTTTTGTGTTTGTTTGTCTGCTTGTTTGTTTGTTTATCTGTTTGCTTGTTTGTGTTTATTTGTTTGTGTTTGAGTGCATGTTTATTCATGTGTTTGTTTATTTATTTGTTTGCTTGTTGTTTATTTGTCAGATTGTTTTGTTTGTGTGTTTTTTTTATTTGTCTCTTTGTTTGTGTGTCTGTTTGTTTATTTGTCTGTTTGTTCGTCAGTTTGTTTATTTGTCAGTTTGTTTTGTTTGTGTTTTTTATTTG